TTGGGTAGATGATACAAGAACACTGTGTGTACCTCTACTGGGTCGATGGTACAAGAACACTGTATATACCTCTATTAGGTACATGGTACAAGAACACTGTGTGTACCTCTATTGGGTAGATGATACAAGAACACTGTGTGTACCTCTACTGGGTCGATGGTACAAGAACACTGTATATACCTCTACTGGGTGGATGGTACAAGAACACTGAATGTACCTCTACTGGGTCGATGGTACAAGAACACTGTATATACCTCTACTGGGTGGATGGTACAAGAACACTGAATGTACCTCTACTGGGTGGATGGTACAAGAACACTGAATGTACCTCTACTGGGTAGATGGTACAAGAACACTGTATGTACCTCTACTGGGTGGATGGTACAAGAACACTGTATATACCTCTACTGGGTAGATGGTACAAGAACACTGGGTGTACCTCTACTGGGTAGATGGTACAAGAACACTGTATAAGTTTTCAATTCACAAGTTTTCCAGGTTTCCAAATGTCGACTAGGCTGTTAGCAGAACTAGCGTGTACAATTTGAACATCTTATTGTCAAGCTGGCCACACTGGAGATAAATAAAAGTCATATATAATGAATACCCTCACCGACATGTCTGCTTATCGGTGATTGACATTTCAATGATGTCTGCTTTATTAGCTCACACGACCTTAATAATCGTTCAAATATTCGAGTTATAAGTCTGTACCCACACCATTATTCGTGTCTAGGTGGGATTGAAACACGACTCATAATAACTAATCCAAATAATGGGAATGATTGGAAAATTTAGGATTTCAGAAAACCAAATTTGAGAATACACATTACGCATCAACTATTTTGTGTCGCAAATGATTAAATAATTGATGATCCGGTTCCAACAAAGGTTTGTTTAGGGCATTTACTGAGACCCGTTGCATGGTTGCGATCGGCCTTGTTCTGATTGATGCACAACGATTTTTGTTTGTTGTTTAAGGGCTCGGTCACACATTCGGGATTTTTACTGCAGTCCTTGAAAGGTCTATTCCCGATTTAACTTTGTCAAAAGTCTGATCAAGATCCTGTGATTCGTGGCGGGTAATTCACAAACATTCAGATATTGTTCAGGAAGCGTCCCGATTCAGCCGTTTCCAGCCGAATTCGACCCGATTCTCCCGTTCTCAATCCGAATCTGATCCGATTTGTATCTTCCGCATGGTAAAACACGACCGAATCTGTCCCGACAGCGTCCCGATTCTCCCGAATGCGATCCGACAGAGATCAGACAGTGAACCGACCAAGACGGTTCGCATTCGGCAAGATCTGGGCGCAATCTGGACTCACTCGACAAGAAACGACAATGAACAATACATCCCCGTTCATCACGGCTGCTTCCCGATCCACAGGACACCCTCCAGACAACACGGGACATTGTTACGATTTTGATCCGATACTGCAGAATCTGTCACGACATAGTCACGATTGTAATCCTACTAGACAAAATCGGCTGAGTTTCCCGAATGTTACGAATACTGTCGTGAGTGCTTGGCCGACTTTTCTGGACCTTTCCCGATCCGTAGGACTCTGTTACGAACGTATACGACTGCGTTCAGACAATGATAGGACATTCCAGATCATTGGGGATAGTAATCCGACTTTTTCACTTTTCGCGTCGCAGCGCTGTCTGATCTGAAACGGGAGTCAAAATCGGCACTGTGTGAACCTGGCCTAACGCCGCTTGTAGCAACACACCTTTATGACGGCGGTCTGTAAATAATACATTCTGGACCAGACAAACCAGTGATTGATATCATGCGTGAAACGCCCCATGCCATCGGTGTCACACAGTCCAGTAAGTCACCCGGTCTAACTATCCATGTATAGCAGCCCCGTACGACAGCGTTGCTGGGAGGGTGGGAGTGGGGGATGGGGGATGGGGGATGGGGGTAGGGCTATTCCAAACGTGAATCCCTATAGGTGAGATGTACAAAGAGATACGAGCATCATGTGGATACGGCTGATTGCATTGCATGATCAAAATAATAGGTGAGGTGAAATCGGGTTTAACGTCGCGTCCAAGATTATTGCACTTATATAGCGACGTGCATGTACGTGTGTGTGTTTGTGTGGCTGCTTGTACTAGTCTGGACCATGCCGCAGTTTAACATGAATACCCCACTCAGACACAGTACACTGACTCCGAGCCGACCAGTCCTTGTTTTAGCCCCTTAATGCCGAGCGCCAGACAGGGTAACAACAAGTACCATCTTTTAACGTCTTTTGGTATGACGCGGCCGGGGATCGAACCCCGGACCTTCCGGAGGCGGTCTTGATAAAAATAATAACAGTCTATGTATGCAGTATTTACAGACACCTTGGCTGGGACCCCCCTTGCATTTTGTCAGGGTATATAACTTGAACGTAGTTCTGAAGATCCATATAGATATGTCGAAAATCAAAACAGTTACGGGGGCGGTCGGGTAGCCTGGTGGTTAAAGCGTTCGCTCGTCACGCCGAAGACCCGAGTTCTATTCCCGACATGGGTACAATGTGTGAAGCCCATTTCTGGTGTCCCCCGCCGTGATATTGCTGGAATATTGCTAAAAGCGGCGTAAACCATACTCACTCACTCACTCACTCAAAACAGGTACGACTGAAAGAGATAACCTCGCATAAGCACGGATTCATTGGTTAAGTTGCGCTATAAATGGTGACCCGAAAATGGAAATCGCGTCGCAAATACACTATATTTGAATGTAAATTTTCCCACAATTGTATAGATTGAATCAAGAAAGGAATATTTTATGTATACAACCACATGTATATTATACTATTGGGCGAGACCCGTGAAGATCCAGGGAAGAATAGGTCTTCAGCAACCCATGCCTGCCGTAAAAGGCGACTATGCTTGTAAAAGGCGACTAACCGGATCGGATGGTCAGGCTCGCTGTCTTGGTTGATGCATGTCATCGTATCCCCATTGCGTGGGTGATGCACATGATATCAATCACTGGATTATCTGGTCCAGACTCGATAATTTACAGATCGCCGTCATATAGCTGAGTGCGGCATTTAACAACAAACAAACAAACTATTGGACGTAGTTCTACTATCAAAGAACTGTGCTGACAATGTTTTTTTGTTTGTTGTTTAACGCCGCACTCAGATCTGTAAATAATCGAGTCTGGACCAGACAATTCAGTGATTGACATCATGAGAATCGATCCACGCAATTGGGATACGATGACTTGCATCAACAAAGTCAGCGAGCCTGACCACCCGATCCCGTTAGTCGCCTCTTACGACAAGCATAGTTACCTTTTACGGCAAGTATGGGTTGCTGAAGCTGAGCTGTATATAGAAACAACTATGAATAAATCATCGTCAATAATACAAAAATACAATCAGTTTCAAATGTTAATTATAATTGAAATTTAGAACAAATTGGTCGTCAGATAATATATGTAAAAGGAGTTTTTTGTATTCCATGACATTATCAATGTTCATTTATAAATCTCATGAGGTGATACTAGATCTTGACAAATATATATTTTTTTATATATTGCGCATGCTGAAATAAAAGCGACAAAACCCTTTCAATAATCATAAGAAATCTCTACTAAAAGCTGAGTCCATTGAACGATTCCGACAATATCATGAGCATGCGAATAATTTTCGCAACTAGTTTTCCTTCATTCGTCACCACTCGCCTCTTTCCGTAACCCATTCGGCTTGTCCCGGAATAACACGAGTTGATCACGAATGGTTTTCCTTTAGCGCCCTGCGAAATATGTTTCGGTGGGTGATCGGGACTGATTGTTCTCTGCCGTTGACATTTTGTGTTTGATGAATTATTCATCTACACATTGTACAATCGGTCACATGTATACGCATTAGGACTGGGACGGGTAACTCGGGTACCTGGGTCGGGTGGGTACTAAGTAGGACCCGGGTATACCCACAGGACTACCCGGACCCGTGGTTAGTCACGTGATATATTGTTTAATGAGACAAAAATATGCACCCATTCTTTCTGACTTTTCATATGGTTTAATAAAGATATAACTTAAGTCAACTTCAGTGTATAAACGACCAGATTGTTAAATACGTACGTGAATCTAAATACGTTTTGCCAGGGCTATGGTAAACAAAATTCCAAATCGGACATTTTGTACCTATCTCTTGAGGCCTACAGTGGGTACCCGGGTAGCGTCGGGTAATAGGCGGTTGGGTATCAGGTAGTAAATTTGGACTCGTCTCAGCCATAATACGCATGTAGATAAATTTAAAGTGGACAATGTATATGTACTATTGGTCAAAAGCATATTCTTGAATACCAGAATCCTGAATCCTTGATACGCACATAATGTTGGTTATATTAAGTTATGCTGCTTGATAAGGCCAAGCGAGAGTATCACACAAATTGAACTTAGTTGATTTTCGAATATTTCTTACCTATGTACTACTGAGAGTACTGGTAAACTATTTTCGAAAACGGTTTTAAAATTAATCTCCTTTTCTGATCTTGTTTCTAGCTAACAAGATCATTTTAGTTTGAAATAGAGTATGGTTACAAAGCAAAATTGCAACACTATCTTAGAATAGATCATCGTATCTCATAAGACTCGCATTAAATATAATACTTTTGCGTTTGCTGAAGACGCTGTAGTGCCGTTTAATATATAGCGTTAGGCAAGGATTGTAAGTTACAAAATAATACATACATACGTTTATAAGAGAGTTTCTTTCGAGTGGCCCTGCAACCTGTGTATGTTTTCTTAATCTATGAGCATGGTTCTGTATAAACAGACTGTCGTTATCTAGCCTGGTATAGGCCACTATTAGCCCAGCAATTTCCCCTCAACATTGCTTTCCCATTACGAGGCAATCTCCTGGAAATCGTAGCAGTGAATGGGATTATTTCACCGAAGTGGCAGGTGCCCGACGCATTGTAAGACTATCGTCGATTGGTTGAGATTAGCCAATCAGCAGCGGCAAGACATGTAGCGGTCGGATAATGCTTTATATTCTGGTCATGTGGGTTGTAAGTTAAGAAAGTTGGTGTGTGGACAGATTGTGAGAGCCTGTTAGAGCAGACGGGCGTGTAGGGCTAGGGCGGCGGAAAGATGAAATACAACGACTGTATCTTGTGGATTACGTCTCTTCTCATCTGCTTGTTGATAAAATCTACACACGAAGCGAGTGGAACGGTAAGTTGATTACTGTCGGCGGCGAGATATGACACCTGTTAGCTGCGACAGCTGTCCTGACGGTGCACAGTTTAAACTGTCATTTTGCCACTGCACTCTGCGCTGTACGTCACAAAAACAACTGCTTATTCACATGTCATATGTGTCTTTTGACGGTTTCAAGCAGAACCCTTGATGGTGTTAAACACTCAGTAAGCGATATGTGTTTTTTGAAATGACAATATGGTTATGATAGACCGTCATTCGGATTGTCCATACACACGAAATACGTCTTCTCTTCCCTCTTCACAGGTGAATATGATGAAAGTGGAATATATTGAGGAAATAAATATCTAAATATGTAATTGTGTTCAAAGAGCCTAAATTAGAATCACTGTGTAGGCCTACTTTATTGTTTCTCTGAGGGTATGATCCATATCTTAACGATACTGTTAAATAGTTTGTTTCGTCCTCTTAATGGGGATAGGTTAAATTTGGATAATATGATTCAAGTCAGAAAAATTACACTTTGACATGTTTGTCTCTTAACTCCAATTTATGTTTTTAAATTTTTTCAGTTAATGAAAATCAAAATTACACAGGGCAATATCACCATATATATATATATATATATATATATATATACATATATGGGTCTTCGATGGAGTACCCAGACTATTGTGATAGTCCCTGGTTTCAGCACACTTCTCCCCACTCCGTATAAAAATGGACCAAGCTGCACTAAAAAAATACCGGTATGACCCTCAGGTCTGTCCAATTCACGGTTGTGTGATCCTTGAATTTGAAGTACATGGTAACAAATTAACAGATTAATTCTCAAATGATAGAAATAGAATGCTAATAAACTTTAACTGCTTGGCCAAAACAAAATACAATAACTAATGGACCACACATGATGATTAAGCCAATATCAGTATATGGACCATCTGTTGTGAAATTAATTAATAGAATTTGATTTCTAAAACAGTTTCATTCCAGTTAATACAGTATGAGAGAATGTGTAAGAATTATTGTTATAGGTGGTGTCAAGTTGGCTGTCAGTAGGTCAGTGGATGTGAGTTGAGATGAAATCGGGTTTAATGTCGCGTCCAAGATTATTGCACTTAAATAGTGACGTGTGTGCGTGGCTGCTTGTACTAGTCCGGACTGATGTCGATTTTTAGTGCTAGCCCACTGAGATACCATACCGCAGTTTAACCTGAATACCCCACTCAGACACAGTACACTGACTCCAAGCTGACCAGTCCTTGTTTTAGCCCCTTAATGCCGAGCGCCAGACAGGGTAACAACAAATACCATCTTTTAACGTCTTTTGGTATGACGCAGCAGGGAATCGAACCCTGAACCTTCCGTTCTCTGGGCGGACACTATACAACTAGACAGAGGCGGTCCCAGTGGATGTGTGGTGGTACTAGGTCACAACCAGGTGATGTTAAACAACATTGGTTGTGGAAAGTCCTTGGATGGATGACCACATAGAGCAGCTCGACTCTGTCTTTGGTCCTGCCCCATACTGTAGCACATGTAAAATCTCCTTTTTGAAAGTAGCATTATTCTTGATATGCCTCTGTTCAACAAGCTGTGAATAGGTACCTGGTAGGATGACATGGTAATGCTCCAGGGAGCTGAGAATGAAAATCAAGTGCATGCTGATCAACTGTATCAATAATGTAGCACGATGAACATAAGTGAATGGGATTTGGTGCATTATATTTGCATTTAAATGCACTAATTATAGAGAATATTTGCAATACAACATTCATTACCTAAACCATGTATACCACATACATGTATATATATACCAAATACACTGTACCAAATGAAATGAATCCAAGATATTTTGGGGGCCTAGTGAATGGGATTTGGTGCATTATATTTGCATTTAAATGCACTAATTATAGAGAATATTTGCAATACAACATTCATTACCTAAACCATGTATACCACATACATGTATATATATACCAAATACACTGTACCAAATGAAATGAATCCAAGATATTTTGGGGGCCACGGTTGGCCCAGTCGTCTAAGGCAATGCGATTCTCTGTGTAGAGTTGTGTCCCTTGGGCACACCAGAAACCTATGATTGTGGGTTTGAATCCCGGTTCAACCCCGATTATGTTTCTAGGTTTGTCAGCACCATACCCATGCTTGTGGGTTTCACCAAAGTGGTAAACATCTAGGACCTGCATCACTTCGGGCTTTCCTCCCACATTAAGCTGGCACGCCGTGATATAACTGGAATACTGTTAAAAGCGGCGATAAACCCAACTCACTCACTCACCAGGATATTTTGCAAAGATGAGAGGATCAAAGTATGTTTGTGCCATCTAATTTGAACACGTTGAAGAAAGCTTTGATTGGAACACGTTTTGAGCTTAAACCTGCCAATTAGTTGTTATGGCAATAAGTTATTTGTTTGTTTAGGACATTAGGACCTGCAGTTATCTTCATCACTGTGTACAGCTGTCGTGATTACAGTTTATACTTCCCTGAACCCGCTTCGCCAAACTGGGAATGTTTGTCGTGTTTAAATAGCTGCGGTCATGCTGTTTTTGTGTAAAGTGTATTGAAAATTTGACAATGAATGTAACTGAAGTTAGGGCAGTAGGAAAAACGTGTTATTTAGGAGAACACTAATGTTAAAAATGGTAAAGAGCTGTCGAAATGTAAGGGTATTGGATTTGGTGACAGGGTACATTTATAGGGAGCTTCAGTGCAGATGTGTCAAGTGGGTGAATTGACCAAAGCTTTGTTTCAGCAGTGACATCACCGTCTCCTTCATCCGTCTCCTCATTCAGTCTCCTTCATCAGTGCACGTCCATAATCACCACAGTATTTCTCTCAATCATCGTGATAAGTGTAATTTGATTGGATGGCTATTTTTGGCATCATGTCATTAGAATTAAGCTTACCAATTTTACCATACGAATCCCCCTCCGATAAGTGCCCCCAGGACAATTCTAGGCCAGTCTGCAAGTAATCTGTGTAAGTACCCTGTACATTGCCCGAATGTTTAAATGACAGTCTGTATTTACTTTTGTATGGTACCAGGGCTACAGTCTTTTGAGCTTTTCAGAACATAATCACAATTTATCATACACCATGTTCACTTTAGGTATTTGATATATTTTATTCCCTTGGGACAAGTCTTTAGGGTGTTTCTACACCAATAAGTAGTCATTTTTTAAAATAAGTCTTAAGATGCCGTTTTTTTCGGTGTGACTTTAAATTTGTATCTGTGTGTTGCCACAGGTGTGTAACATGTTACATCAACTCACTGTAGCGATATACATGTCTAAATAACAATAAAGCCGTCTAAATAACAATAAAGCTGTCTAAATAACAATAAAGCCAGATGTATTGCCTTGGTTAGGCATTATTCACCGCAGTTGAGTTAATGTATTGTTCATGATGGCATTCGATCAGTGCATATAGATCAGCATTAGAAATTGGCACTAGTCCTACAGTCCTTGCCAAACTGCTCAATAGCTAAGGTATCATGACTAGTAGAAATTAGCCATTTTTAAGGGGTTAACTACATGTTATCATTATAAGGACTAGTGGACTAAAACTGTTAGTTTCTACAACTGAGATCTGTAAAGAAATACAAATACACAAGTTCAAAAGGATACATTGGGTAACTATGCAGTGGTTTCATACTCTTGGGATTTTAAAATTTTTAATGTGTGTTAACGCATTAACAAAGTGAGTGAGTGAGTGAGTTGGGTTTAGCGCCGCTTTTAACAGTATTCCAGTTATATCACGGCGTGTCAGCTTAATGTGGGAGGAAAGCCCGAAGTGATGCATGTCTTAGACGTTTATCACTTCAGTGAAACCCACGAGCACAGGTATGGTGCTGACAAACCTAGAAACTTTTGGGGCGAACCGGGATTCGAAGCCACAATCATAGGTTTCTGGCGTGCCCAAGGGACGCCACTCTGCACAGCGAATCGCGACGACTGCGCCACCCGTGCCCCCGCATTAACAAAGGAAATACCATGTCACAAAAAGTTTGTTCTCTCCTTCTCGGTCAATAATCACATCAAATTAATGAAGCACCCCTGTCGTTATTTCTAACAGTAAGAGTCAAAGGTGCTTTTTACGACAAATACGGAAAAACAAGACAATTGTGAGTAATGGGTCCAGGGGTATTTATCAGTAAAGATAAAATCCACTGGATAAATGAGGATGAGAAGAAGTAGGTATGGCCAGGAAGTAGTAATGCACAATTTTTATTATACTTGTCAAGAAGTATTGGAATATATACTACCTAAAGAAGTTAAAGAACACCCAATTCTTTCAAATTACTAAGTTTGAAACTTTCCTGTTTCTATAGTTAACATGGTTATTGTGTCATGCTATGTCAGTAATAATTACAAAACGAATTCGTTACACAAATTTAGCCAATTCTGACAGGTCAAGTGCTCCCGAGAACTTGCATTTATATTCAGTAAATGCACAAAAACATTTATGCATCCCAAATGCACGTTTTCCCGGAAGTGACAGAACTACTATCCAAATGACATCATCCTTGTTTACGTCTATAAATCACCCGATGTCAGAATTCCCTTCCAGAATGCTGATCAATTTTTCAAGCGGCTCATAAAAGATCCATTTATAATTTTTTCATTTTTTGTGCATGCATCGTAGTATAACAGTCACAAATTATATAAACTGAGAAGGTTTCGCTTTGTCATTCGTGACATACTTGCTCACTAAAGCTTGAACAATGTTGAACCTAGCTTGAAATTACGAAGTTAGCTGTTGTGGGAATGCTAGCTGTCAATGCCATGCTGGTATGAAGTCATTAATAGTCCCTTCCAAAAATAACTAGTGTTTAAGTTTTTCTCGCTCAGGTATAACACGTCATGTGTTGTCACGCTGGTCATGTGTTGTCACACTGGTCATGTGTTGTCACGCTGGTCATGTGTTGTCACGCTGGTCATGTGTTGTCACGCTCGTCATGTGTTGTCACATTGGTCATGTGTTGTCAC